CTTCGCTAATATTCCCCAAAATCACTCAATGAACGAAAATCGATTCGGATTAAAGAAGCCATAAGAAAACCATTGATTTATTGCCTAAAACGATAAAAAATAAAATTCACATATAGTTGGCGCTGCATTCTATGCAAACTTGTTTTCCGTTGCAACGGACTAAGTGGAAAATATACGCTTATTACATAGAATGTAGCGCCAACTATATGTGAATTATATTTTTTATCGTTTTAGGCAATAAATCTATGGTTTTCTTATGGCTTCTTTAATCCGAATCGATTTTCGCTCATTGGGTGATTTTAGAGAATATTGCTCAAGTCGACTACTGAACTACCCCTGCATGCACAAATTCGGTGCGATGTGGATTTGTTATGCAACAATGATGCACAAAATATTACCACTGAGAAATTTCAAGAAATTTAATCCGTTTTGAATTTCGCTCATTGAGTGATTTTGGAGAATATTAGTGAAGTGGACCACTGAGCATGCACAAATTCGGTGCGATGTGAATTTGTTATGCACAAAAAAATTATAAAGAATTTTTTTTATTTTTCCAATTATTTAAAAAAAAAGTGGTGAATTTGTGTGGGGAAATTGACGTCAAATCGATTTTGATACATTTTTTGCAGTGTACGACCGATCCGAAGGAATATTTGACATGCACAAATTATGCACAAAAAAATGGCACAACATTTTTTCCGATTTTTTGGCCATAGAAAAATGTTGAATTGCATCCAAAACCGAAATTCACCACAAAATATAAAGCTGAATAACTCATCAGCCATTTATGCACAAATTCTAAAAATGCATGCACAAATTCGTACAAATTATGCACAAAAAAATGGTATAGGTTTCAATAAGATACTCGAAAGTGACTTGCTGGAGAGTGTAAGCCAGAGTATTGGAAAAATAAAATTTAAAATGAGAAAAACGATGGCGACGAAGGTAAACCAAATGTATGGAATTGATTGAAGTTATTTCTTTTGTGCGTTCTTCAATTGTATATATATATATGCGATGTTATTGTGGCTGTATAAAACGCGTATGTGTGTAAGATTCTCTGATTCTTTTCTAGCTGTAATCCATTTGAAATTCCAATGATTTCATTACAAACTCACTTACTTAGCCATTAGCATTTGATGTGTTTTGAGCTATGCGAAAGAACAATGTGAACAGAGAGGTCCAACGGATAACGTAAGAAAGGGAGAAAAATCAAAGAAAGGGATCAGATAAAAATTAACAAAGTTAATGAAGTCGAAATTTATTTCACGTTCCGTTTCGAACTGCCATCAACGGTAAAACGTCGCGCGCTGCGCACCGCGCGCCTACTATACAAAGCTCATTTTCTTGATTTTGTTTTTGTACCTCCTTCATCATTTGGCATTCGCGAAGCGAGCATTTAAATTCATACACATTATTCACATCATTATGGCCGTATCTGCGGTTAATTCAATTGAATAAAATGAAATGAAATGAGAATGAATAAAAAATGTAAAAAAAACACACACATTTACAAACATGCATACATATCAAAAACACATTTATGCAGGCACATACAAATACTCGAAAACCGACCAGGGCAAGCATTAAAGATTGTTGGGTGCTGTTGCTTCATCTCCATATGCCTTCGCTCGTGAATATGAATAAAGTGTTTCGAGTTAATGTTGTATTAAACATATTCCAAATTCAATCTTAATGATTGATTATTGCATATCGCATATATTCTTTATCATGTTTATCTTATTAATGCAGCGCAACGTCAAATAATATCGAATTTAGTTCTAAAAGTGGTACGCATTCACATATTCCTTAAAAAGGAAATTATGGAGACGAACGAGGCCTCTGAAAGCAGTTAATCAAAATACAAAATTCGCAAATCAATTTAATATTGCTAATCGAAAAGAGTAAGAGAGAGAGAGAAACAACTGAACGACCAAATGTGCATTTGCTTACGAAATGCACGAACGACGCTTGATGTTGGCTTTTTAACAAAACCTGTACAAAATATATACAAGACACATACCATAGGTTCATTATTCATTCGAACACTTAATTTTATTACAAGAGAGAAGGTTTTTAAATTATTTGAAGCGTTAATTGCTGTTCTTCGGCTTCTAGCCCGCCGGCCAAACCATAACACAACCCAGCACATTGAAATTCGACGCAAACAACGATTCTTGTCTGCATATATCTGTTGTAAATTATCGAAATTTCATTTCATTCGCATTTTGTGCGAGTCTTTGATTTCTAATTTTCCATACATAGCAACTGACTAGGGCTCCAAAGGGTCGGACTAACCTCCTCTCCGTAAAATTTTAAAATACTCTCCTTGGATCATCAACTTCAGACGCTATCATATTATACAAGTGGATGGCTCTAAGAAGAGACGCATTGCGAATGGTTTACATTAATGCCATCTGTTGGCTTGGAGAGATGGGAGAGATTGTGACATTTTTGACGTAATGTATTTTACGTATTCATGTTTTTGGCAAGTCATTTGTCAATTTGGAACGTCCTGTTTCAATATCAATCAAATCACCAACCCATTTGTTAGGTTACATAAAATATTTAAAAACAAACATAAAACAATACACAGCTTTTGGTAAAAAACAAAATAAAGAGATAAAATAAACTTAAAGAATAAATTACTGATAAAAAATATATCAGTCTAATATTTATTTCTCACCATTTTTATAACGCTATTTACAGCGACTTCAAAATGCGAAAAATGACGAAATGTCATAAATCTAAATTGACAAATGACTTGTCAAAAACATGAATACGTAAAATACATTACGTAAATTTGGTTGGAGACGTCGGAGAAAAATAATATTTCATCATTTTCATCATAAAAAAAAATATAGTTTTGTTCAAAAATTCAAATAAAATCAAATTTAAAAAAAATATTATTATTGGATTATTTTTTATTGGATTAAATAAATAATAAATATGTGCATTTGTGTTACGTTACATAGAGCAAATTTGTTTACATGCTAGAGATGTAAATTTAGTTGAGGGATGTCAGGTATGATGGCGCTGATTAGCGAGACTCGCATAAAAAAGTCTCCAATCTCATATATGTGTCATCCACGTGATATTATATGCTATATTTGTTTTATTTTTTCGACATTTTTAACTAAAACATTAAATGTTAGGTTTTGATGGACTTCTGGAGTCGAGCACTTGGTGTTTATGATTAACATATATATAATCATCACATGATGGGTATCATTAATATTGCCATATTGTGTGTAACTTGCATGTATTGTCTGGTTTACCAAATCATATTGTCTGGTTTACCAATTCATATATATAGATGAACTTTTTTTAACTAATTTATTTTGTGTTCTCAAACCAGGTAAAAAATGGCCTGTTCATATAAAGTTGCATAATATATATTTAAAGTGCATTTTCCACTCAATACCAAAATCAAAAATTACAATGGGTTAAAATTAAAAATTTAAGGATTGTGATTTGAGTTGAGAACCGTTCTCATGAAAATGAAAATCGAAAACAATATCATCGGAAAATATAAGATCGCCTTGGGGGTTCTAATTCACACATTGTACATAGTACATACGTTTTTACATGCTTATATGAATCAATTAGAATGTTCGAGTCTTTTTCTTAAATATTTTCTTCGACATTTTGTATTGCTGTTGCATTTTTATTTCTTTGTATGTTTCATTTTAATATTTTGAAGAATTGTAAAAATAGAAATATGATTTGATTTCAGTTGAAGTCAGATTATAGTCAGCGACATTAATGAAAAAAAGAAGCGTTTCGAAAATTCTAACTGATTCATATATACATACGCCCATGTATACCATGTGCATAAGAGAATAAGCACTCACAGAAGACGTCAATTGTAATATTTGCGAACTCTGGTGGTGATTTACTAAATTACCACCATTACAATGTGTGGCATGGTGATTTTTGTATGTATTGTATTTGCTTTGCTGAGCAATATTACTATCGCTCAACGCAGTGTTGGTGGTAATACTGTACAGCGCTGTCACAGCAAAGCAAATACAATACATACAAAAATCACCATGCCGCACATTGTAAATGGTGGTAATTTAGTAAATTACTACCAGAGTTCACAAATATTACAATTGACGCCTTCTGTGAGCATGGTTTGCGCTCGTCGTCGACGGAATAATCTGAACTGAATATTGAAAGTTGAAAAGAAAATCGATTTAATTAATATCATAAAATTTGTGGTATTCAAGTGGGAGTAGATGAAAAAGAAACTAATGATAAACATCGATGTAATGGAAAAGGTTGAATAAAATACAAAAAAGAAAAGGAGAACTTGTTATTATTGTTAGTCTTTTAATACTGAAATTCTCTCTGTCGGAATGATAAATGTGAACCAAAATGAATTTGTGTGAGAGATAGAAAAGGAAGAGTGAACGAACGGGTGAGGAAGCAAGCGCGCAAATCCAATGATTGTATGAGTGTGTTTTTGTGCATATATGTATGTCTGTATTTCCAATAGCAGCAATATTGGAAACATGAGTGTATGAAAATACACGGCATATATTAAAACATGTTGCATCGTTAATGAAAACATGAAATGAATCGAATTGGTAGGATCAAATAAACAAAGCTGATGCAATGTTCGACAAGAGATAGATATTATTGTACCGATATTATAACCGTCGCCAGCAGTATGTACTGGTCTTGTGAATGGGCGATTTCCGTTTGTCCATCGATTGAACTTTCGATTTGCATTGACCGAAAGATTTATTTGAATCCTTCTTCTTGAATTGCTTGTTCACTTTATTTTCTTTGGCTTATTGCTACCTTGCCAAATGAACAAACGCATAAAATGAAATACCTGCATAACATAAGAATGTATGTAACACATCTAAAAATCATGTAATTTCTCTAAACAACAGTTTTTGTTTCACGTTTATTATCATTATTCTTCAGTGAATTTTTCTGATGAGTTGATGCTGAATAGAATTTAATGAACATAGCATAGATAAACTTACCTCTGATTTGAGCTTTCTAAGTGGTGATAACACTGGTGCTAAAGATGAGCATGATGATTGTGACAATTGATCTTCATCATGATGTGATGTTTGCTGTTTTGGGCTGTCCACTTCGACATCGTCAGTCGATTGTTTACGCTTTGTTGCGATCGATTTTCGTGGTTGATGAATGTGATGTTGTTGTAAGTATTGTGACATTGATTCAAATTTACCAGATTGCTCATGAATTTTTCGAACGCCCTGCTGCATAAGTGACATTATTTTTGGAGTTGGTGATGTCGAAACGGATCGTTTGATAGCCTGATGATGATATGTGTCAAATTCATGTACTTCGCATGGCATTGCTGCGCTAAGCATACTTGTTGTTGCATCACCAGCACCTGAACTGCTATTTGTTTCAGTTTCTTCAATACCTTCGGCCATATCAGACTTTCATCCTGAGACAGCGTCTAGAAAATACGATTCAGAAGAAAAGAAAAAAAATATCAAAACATTTTTTTTTAATTTGAAGCAATTTTTTTTTTTTTTTTTCAAATATTAAATTAGGAATTTGTTCGACACTCTCTTAAAACGAATAAACGATTTTTGTTCTTAACACAATCGTTTTTGAACATAATCGTTTCATTCTTTATTAAAGAATCTTCAATGTGGTTTTTCATATTAGCACGAATGTTTTTCAAATCCAAAAACAACATACATATGTAAAATATACATTTATTTTGATTGATGACGGTTAAAATTCTCATTATTATTTTTGCAAACAGTGCATACGCTGCACAGTATTAAAAAAATGGTTACTGTCCAAATCATTTTGTGCGAGCCCGGTGATGATGGTGATGATAATGATTGAAAATATTTTCAGATGTAATCAACTCTCGGAAGTATTTCTTTGCTCGTTTTCAAACTACAATTAGCAATTTTCGAGCAATGGCTATGTTGAAAAAACGATTATTCGCTGTGTAATTTTTTTCACTTCATACCTTCATGTTAAAGATAACGCCAAACATGACTTTGTTTTGAAGTTTTATATAAAAATGAAAAGAAGAAAAAACTGAGCTACTTAAACTGCACAACAAACCAATTAATCAACATGCAAGTGAGTTTGAAGCAATATTCGTCCATTATTTTTTTCATTTGTAAATATTTAAAAATAAATAATTAAAAAACAAATCATCAAAAATAAATTATATAAAACTGATATTTGTCAAATTTTGAGCATTTGAATAATAATGAACGCCCGGTAACAAATACGGAACATTATTTGAGTACATGCATTAGCAGATTTCAAATTCGACGCACGAAAAGAAGACGTATTTTACATACCACGCGCTTTTACATGTGACTGAGAAAAATATATGCCCATAATGATGTTTGAAAACCGAGAACATAAGAGTAAATGAGATATTATGGGAACACAATTGATCGGCTGAGAATAAAAGTGACTTTAAGTTTTTTTAAACCGTCTCCATCTTATTTAAATCCTATACAAATTATGAGACACTTTTAAGATTTTTTCTGCTTAAAGTCTCTTATATTACCAGCCGTACAATTGAAGTAGTGAGGAGGATTGCTAATTTAGTTGTTATAAAATATTTCGTTTATTATTACATTAACAATGCCAATGTTTAGTTTAATATGAATATTCTAGGTGTATTTCTCTTCAACATTATCTTCGTGACTATTCTTATGTTTTTTTAATATAAAAGCACTGTTATCGGTGTTTATGAAATTCGCTATACAGACTTTTGCTTTCAACTGATTAATCTAAATTGTAATTGTTAGACATGCTATTTCGCATATATCCACACACAGAGAAAAAATGTGGTATTTTTAATTCAATTTTGGTAGATTTAATATAAAATCAACCAACAACGAATCAAATTCACCATTTTTGACATCTCCACAAAAAAAAACACCTAACCTCAATATGAGACGATTGACATAAAATTCAGTTTATCCGAAGTCTCATTTATTTTTGGATAAATTTTAGTAAACAATTTTGTTTTTTCAATTTTTTTGTGCGTTTTACCGAGTCTCCGAGAGTTTCATATAAGCCTGCCATGTAACAGCAGAAATACAGTCGAAAACATGACAAACATATTTTTCACTTTTTGTGTGCATTATACCGAGTCTCCGAGAGTTTCATATAAGCCTGCCATGTAACAGCAGAAATACAGTCGAAAACTCGACAAAAATATTTTTCACTTTTTGTGTGCATTATACCGAGTCTCCGAGAGTTTCGTATAAGCCTGCCATGTAACAGCAGAAAAGACAGTTGAAAATACGAAAAAAAATTTTTTCGTGTTTTCGACTGTCTTTTTTCTGCTACATGGCAAGCTTATATGAAACCCTCGGTATAATGCACAAAAATATTGAATTTTTTTTTACATATTTTCAACTGTCTTTTCTGCTGCTATATGGCGTGCTTATATGAAACTCTCGGAGACTCGGTATAACGCACAAAAAAAAATTTGTTTACTAAAATTTATCCAAAAATGAATGAGACTTCGGATAAACTGAATTTTATGTCAAATCGTCTCATATTGAGGTTAGGTATCTTTTGTGTGTCTGAGGCATATTTTTCAAAAGTGACTATTTATACATGCATCCATATGTTCAAGATCTGTGTACACTTTCCCATATAAATTAGCGTTACAGAAGTGTGTACACATTTCATATAGTTTAACGTTTCACTTTCCCCATTGGGGTTGAATAAGTTTCCATACTCTCTCTTTTTTCTCTTTCTTTTTCTGTGTATATGATATAGGGTGGGAATGAAAGAGAGAGAGAGAGAGAGAGAGAGAGAGCGAATGAGAAAAAAGCAAAATCGCCTAAGCGACCTACGACAAAATTTTGTGTGGTCAAGAACCATATATCGTTGTTGTTGTGTTTCCTTTCGTTACCCTTATCAATTCACACTGGACATATGGCAAGTGCGAATTGATTTGTTCTTCAAAAAGATACACAACAACAACGATTTGTGGTTCACGCAATGTGCAATGTGCGAGCGTGTTTACACACATTTTATTCCAAAATCATGTATGAACATTTTTCGCTCTCCTGGCCACAATTTTGATCGGATCGAAATTTTATACTTTGATGCAGATGGATACCGTCAATACCTTTCCAACGGTATGCTTAAAATTCGATCCGATAAAAATTGTGGCCAGGAGGGGTACAAAACTTTTGATGTTTGCGTATTTATAATCAGATAGTTCTCAACGAATTCTATCAATTCCAGCAATAATTGGTTGATAATAGAGCAAGTAATGGAGGTTTAACCTTACTTTTCAGCACCAAATTCTCGAATAATGGTTCTAAATAACGTTCCAAAGAAGATCCTACCATACAAACACCTCTTTATCAAAGTTCGGGTTGTCGACGTCTCTAGCCTTATAGTAGTGCCCTAACATAATCAATGCAAAAGAAAACACTTGCATTTGATTCATGGTTCGATTTGGCGATGAATGTTTCACTATCCAAAATGATGATTCTTTCAGTGCAACATGCTATAGGGTGAAGTAATCTCCCAATTCTTGACACCCTTTGGAACTTTTTCGTAACTTATTTTGCTCATTCCTAATGATCGTGTCTAAGTCTATTGTTTTGGTTCACATTTGGATGTGCTGTAACCATAAGAATCACCCATCTGCGACATGACAGTGTATTGCAAAAAGTGACATGGTGGCGCCATGTACAACATGGTGGTGAAAGAACAAATTTTCATGTAAGAGCATGTACGACCACATTATTGATGTTAGTTGTTATCAACTTGGATGAAATAATTTGTGGTCGCAAATGCAAAATGTGCGTGGTCGCAAAGAGTGATCATAAAATTTATCTATTTTCAAAAATAAAATGTTTACAATTAGAAATATTCCTTGCGATTTCATCATTTTTGTATTTAAAATTTATTTCGTTTAAAAAAAAGTAGAAGAAAAAACAAATCGTCTATCACAGTGTGGTCGCAAATACGTTGTGTTGTCGCACATGCAAAGTTTGTTCTTTCACCACTATATTACAGGTACATGGCGCCACCATGTCACTTTTTTCATGTCGGGGGGATGGAATCACCAAAAATGAATTTTTGCTTGGCCAACCCGGTTTTCGGTACTTGATGACAATTTTGAAGGGTTTGAGCATTTAAATTGGAAATACAACCGTACTTTTAGCTTTCTCTAGAATCTTTATATTCATACTAAGTCCATGAAACACGATACATGGTTCGAAGAGAGATTGGTTCATCTTTAGACACATGCAGAATTTGTTTTGAACTTAACTTTGTTATGTATTGCGTTGTAATAAATGTATCAATTTGTGCCAATGTTTATGCAACAGATGTTATTCCTTATGTCAAACATCAGTAGAACAAAAATATAGTTCGCACCAAGATGCGTACATTGTGTATGTGACTCGGCTCATTACGCTCATTTTAAATCAGATGTGGAATATTATATGGAATATTATATGGAATATTTATGATTGCGAATGTATTTTACAGCTATGTTTTAAAACGTTTAATGGGCCGCGATGCCTCGACTTTGTAGATTGTTTGTGCGATTCTGTGTGCATTATTTTGTTGTTCTGAGTTTATTTGTTTGTTGTTATTGTTAATATCACGTTCCTTTCATTCATGTCAAATCGAAAAAATCTCTAAAAAAAATCCATTTCATAAATGTATAGAATTTAAGCATTTTATATTTAAATTCTGGTCAGTTCTGCACATATTCTTAATGTTTTCTTTTTCACAATACATTTCATTTTTGCTTGAGAGCTCTCAATGTTCCGTATAGTGCTTGGTACATATTTACATTTTGCAGTAACACATTACAATTGTAACGAAGCATTACAGTAATGTCATTACAATTTTAACGTTAGATTTTAGCATTACCAGTAATAGCTATTGCTATTCTTATAACCTTACTGACAATGCTTCGTTACAATAATAATGTGTTACTCAACGCTACGGGTAATGTTATAAATCTAACATTAATATTGAGACTTTTCAATTCAACTTTAAGTTGAAAATATATTTACAATGGATGGCGTCTGTGTCTGCTCTAAGCTTATCATTGAAATTGATTGATTTGATTTTTTTGTTATTTTATGCAAATTTCATCATTTTTGGTTTTGTTTTGAAAAAATGTTTATACATATCGGGAAAAAAATAATTCTTGAACTATATTGTTCAAGAATTTCCGAAAAATGAACGATAATTTATACTTTTAGCACTTCGGTGAAGCAAGAGGCCAGCTAACCAGTCACTTCAATAAATTTAATATTTTTTGAGAATATAATGAGCAACCATGAAACTAAGTAGATTCAATAATTTGTCATTTGTTCGACTTAAAATCATCGATGCAGTCATTGCTAATTTTGTTATACGTATATACTTAGTTTTTGGCCATATCTTTTAAATATTGAAGTCATCGGCTGTCTTTTCGACCCG